CACCTCTGCAGCCCATCTCCCTCAGCCTGCCATCTCCTGCCCATCCTTCCCAGGCCCACAGCTGGTCTCTGAATCTTTGGATGGGAATCGGGACCCCTCTGGAGAGCCAGCCTGGCCGTGGGCCCCCAGGCTTTGGGAGATTTCCAGAGCCCTGGCTGCTGGCTGGCTCTCTTTTAGGGGCAGAGAGGGATCACGGGCACCTCCCTAATGCTCCCCTTGGCACACCCCAGCAACAAACTCTTCTAGCTTCAAGCTGGGAAGGTACACTGGGAATCACAAGTTAGGGTCCTGTCTCGGCCTGAGCCATGCGACCCCGCAGTAGCCCGGGAGTTTCTGCCCCCTCCACCTTCTGATCCTTCAAGAGTAGATGGGGCGTGTGAGGAGTGGGACAGGGGGTGGCAGACAGGGCGGTCCCTGGGCCTTGGGGCTCTGCCTAGTGGGATGGTCACGTGTTCTTGGGCTGCGGAGTCATTGAGGCCAGCAGGTGGGTCTGAGGGGGGGACCAGACTCCATGACCCAGGCTGCCTGGGTCACCGCATCCCACTGCCACAGAGAATCGTGCTCCATGCATCTGGCCCTGCTCGTCCTTTCCTGGCCTTCCCTGGCCAGGTTGCAGGGACCAGGCTTCCTCCTCCACCTATTGTGCCCTGCTCAGCTGTGTCACAGAGGCTGTCACCTGCTTAACACTGTGTTCTCATCCTTGGCATCTCGCCTGGAACCTTGTCGGTATGTGGCCAGTATCTGTGGGATGAAGAAAAGCATGAAAAAAATGAATGAACGAATGAATGAATGAATGAGTAAACCATGCCAGGAGACACCTTGGCCCAGACCTGACCCCAATTACTGCAAGTTTTCTTTAAGATAAGGTAAGAGAAGCTGAAGAGGCTGTCGGCGATCCACTTCCTGCTCACAGTGGGTCCCAGTTCTGTCCCTGGCCCTGCATCTGGTTCCCTGAGCATCATCCAGAGTCATCTTTGAGCACAGGGCCAGGATGAAGCCCTGAGCTGATTTGCTGACTGTGGCCCCCAAATCAATTTAAAAAAAAAAGCTAATTTGGGGGCTGGAGTGATAACACAGTGGACAAGACACTTGCCCTGCAGGCAGTCAACCCTGGTTTGATACCTGGCATCCCATAGAGTCCCCCAGGAATGATCCCAGAGTGCAGAGCCAGGAGTAATCCCACAGCATAACTGTGTGTGGCCCCAAATCAAAAATGAACAAAAACCAACCAAACAAAATCAAATCAGGTAAAAATTGCTTGCTCCCTAAGTTGGGTGTGTAACTCTCTGGAGCCGCAGGGGATTCTGGACCCTGGTGTAGAAGCGGTGGGCTCGGGGGCAACTGGACGGAAGAAACCGGGGCACAGCAGTGCTGGCACAGGATAGATGCAGTGTGGAGCAATGGTCGCCGGGACACACAGTGGCTTACAGAAACCACCTTTGAAGCTCTGGGCCAGGCTCTGTGCAGCTGCGGAGGGAGGAGGAGGAGGAGGAAGGGCAGGGGAGGAAGAGAAGCTGAGTTCTGCCCTCTGGAAGCTGACAGCCAGTCCCAGAGGCACCCCAAATCCCTGGGATCAGACTGGCGGTGTGAGAGCCTGCACTGCATTAAATAGCGCCTCATCCGTGCTGAGTCAGCAGACAGGACAGGCAGCACGGGGCGGGGCGGGAGCCCTCTTCCAGGAATGGGCTCTGGGAGGGAGAAGCCAGCCTCCCACCCCAGCCCCAACTGCTCGGGCTCCCAGGAGGCCCCTGGGCTGGTCTATGGCATTGAGTGGAAGAACAATTAGGCCCCTCTGAGCCTGCCCTATACATCCGTCTGCTGGGAATAGGCTGGTCCCCCCACTCCCATCCTCACCCCTCCCTTTGCCTCTGACTTCTCCCTGACCTCAGGGGCTAAGGAAAGGAGCTTCCTCCAGGAAAGAAGTAAGCATGGTGGGAGTGGGAGCGTACACACTCATACACACAGAGTCACACAGTTACATCGTGACACATACAGTCACATAGTTACACATGCAGAGTTAGACAGTTACACATACAATCACACAGGTGCACACACAATTACACAGTCACACTTACACAGCTATGTTGTTACACATGCAATAATACAGTTACATACACAGTCACACAGTTACACACACTCACACAGTCACACTGTTACACACAGTCACATACACATACAGTCACATACATCCATAGTTACACAGTTACACACAAAATCACACAGTCACACACAGTCACAGTTACACATGCAGAGTCATACAGTTATATACAGTCACACAGTCACACAATTACACAGTCACATACACATACAGTCACATACCTCCATAGTTACACAGTTACACACAAAAATCACACAGTCACATAAGTCACAGTTATACACACAGTTACAGAGTCACACATTCAGTCTATAGTTTCACACACAGTCATAAACACCTACACAGTCACACAATCACACATACAGTCAGAAAGTCACACAGGTACACACAGAATCATCAGTAGACACAAAAATCACACAATTACACCCAGAACCACACAGTTACACACCATACCCTCACACAGAGTCACAAAGTTACACACATACAATTACAGTCATACAGTAATACACACAGTCACACAGTTACACACAAAGTCACACAGTTAAACACATACACACCATCACACATAGTCACAACTTACACATAGTCACACACAGTCAGGGTCACACACAGTTGCATACACAGTCACACAGTCACACAAAGTAATTAGTTATACAGTTAGCCACACAGTTACACACACAACTCAAAGTGAGTCACACAGTTACACACAGAGCCACACAGTTACACACACATACACTCAAACTGAGTCACACAGTTATATACAGAGTCACACAGTTACACACATATACCCACATACAGTCACACAGTTACACACATATACCCACATACAGTCACACAGTTACACACATATACCCACATACAGTCACACCGTTACACAGAATCACAGTGACACGCACTCACATAGTTACACAGTCACATGTCACACATAGAGAGAGTCACACATGTACACGTTCACACTCATACACACTCTCATAGACACACACCACTGGCCTGAGCTGTTTTCCATGGTGCTTGTGGCACACAGAACTTCTGGAACCTGCAGACTGACTGGTCTGTTGTCCCCTGAGCTGGGACCTCTCTCCCCCAGGGCCTGCCCAGTGTGGGCTTTGCAGATGTTCCTTGAATCTCTGTCCAGAATGAACGAACAAGCTTTAAAGTCTTGTGCCGAGCATGTGGCCCAGATTATACCAGAGCACATGTGCTGTGTACTCAAGGCCCTGGGTTTGATCCCCAGCATCACCTGACACAGGAAGACAAAATTCAAATCTTACAGGGGGCCAAGTGATAGCACAGAGGGGAGGGTGCTTGCCTTGCTTGTGGCGGACCTGGGTTCAATTCCTGACATCCTGTAGGACCCCCCGAGTCCACCAGGAGTGATCCCTGAGTGCACAGCCAGGAGTAAGCCCTGATAGATGTGGCTCTAACACACCGCCCCCCCTCCCAAAAAAGTCAAATCTTCTTGAGGTCTGAGCGTGTGGTTCAAGTGGAGAGCACATGCCTGGCATGTTCAGTGTTCTGGGTTTGATCCCCAGCACCACGTTCCTTGCCCCCTTGAGCTTTACTGAGTGTGACTCTGAGCACCCCCCACCCCCCCACCACCAGTGCCACCCACTGGGCCCTGAACAGCGTCTTTCCCTGTCCGCTGGCCCTGCACACAATGTAAAGCCCTGTCGACCAAATACCTTAGCTGGGAAGGGCACAGCCCAGGTCCCTTGGGAAGTTTTGCAGCCTTTGTCTGCATCTCGTCCCCTTCTGGCTGGATCTTGGATGGGGGTGTGGGGGTCGTCCAGGGGCGCAGAGAGAAAGGCTGGAGAAAACCCTTCAACCCCTCAGCCCTGGTCCTGCCTTCCCCACCCATCCCACAGCCCGGGCCCGACAGGACGCAGGCGGAGAGCTTGTGTTGTGAGTCTGGTTTGCGTTTAAGGGACTAATTTCCGCCTTGTGGGGGTGAGTTATCTCCTTGTGAAATCAAGCTGGAGAGACATGAAGCTTCTCACCAGCGAGACACGCAGCCACGCTGCTGCCTCCTTCATGGAAACCCCAGGGAAGGAATGGAAGGCGCCCTGCTCCCGCCCCCGCCCCCGCCCCCGGCCCGGCCCCGCGTGCCAGGATGCCAGCGCGTGCCCAGAGGCCCGGTGTGTGGGGCATGGCAGATGTGGTGGGCATAGGTGAGGGAGCGTTGGAGCCGGCGCTGGAAGCAGGTACGTGAGAGCAGGCAGGTGTGGGGGCTGCCGCCTCTGGAGCTGAGGCCTCTGGTCACTGAGGGAGCATGCCGACTGAGGAGCTGGGGGGGGGTCCCTGGAGGCGGACTGAGTGGGGGGAGGCCCTGGGGAGTTCACCCCCTCACGTGTGGAGCAGGAGGGGCGAGGGCCGGGCCTGGAGGGAGCCGCGGAGCCCGCCCACCCTTTCATCTCTGCAGTCCTTCCTCTGACCCTTCCTTGAATGTGTCTGTGGGTCCATCTGGGTGGGTTTGGGGAGGGGAGAGAAGGGGGGAGGTCTCTGCGGGCGGCGCTGATTGGACAGACTGTGAAAACAGGAGTCGAGGGGAGTGGGGGCCCGTGCACACAAACAGGTGCTCCCGGGCTCAGCCGCAGACCCTGAGGGACCCACGCAGGCGCCGTCCCCAGGCGCCGTCCCCCGGGATTACCCTCCTGCAGGACCAGGAGGGCCTCGACGGGAGGGGACAGAGGAGCCCAGCGGCCAGGCCCTCCTCCAGTGCCAGCCGCCAGCCCCAATCCTGGGAAGGGCCTTTCCCAGAGAGTTAAAGGCAAGAAAGTAACCTTTAGGACTCAGGAGAAACGTTCCTTTGTTTGGGTTTCTCTTTCTGGTTTTTTTTTTTCCCCCTAAGCCTCTTTCCACATCTGTACCAGCTTTTTCGCTTGTCCCGCCGGGGTCACAGAAGGGCCGAACCATGGCGTTGGCGCAGACTGCGGGGAACCAGACGGCCTCGGAGGCCTCGGAGGACTATTCTTATGGTAGCTGGTACATCGACGAGGCCACGGAGGGCCAGGAGGCCCCGACAGAGGTGTAAGTGCCCCCCACCCCCATCTCCACTGCCCTGCCAGCTGTGGGAGGGCCGTGGCCGTGGGACACAGGACAGAGAGCTTCCACAAGGTGTTTTTGCAGCTGTGTGCTGTGTGGCCCTTGACAAGCCTCTCCCTCTCTGGCCCTGTCCCTGGCTCTGTCCCACCAGAACAGCAGCTCTGGGGTGTCCCCTGCAAAACCCCCACATGAGGGACTCACAGGGCCAGACTGGCCCTGGGGATGAAGGAAGTCTGCCCTGCCCTCCAGGGGTCACCGGTCCCAGTGGGGAGCCTGGCGGTTGTTTTGTTAACCAGGGTCAGGCCCTGGCCAGGGGAAGACCTAAGGAAGAAAGGGGGTGGGGGGTGGAAGCAGCCGCTGTTGTGTTTGGCGGCAGAGGGAGGCCCGGCTGGACACTGGGCCCAGACCCTTTCTTTGTTTCGTCTGAGCATCCTGCAGGGAGCTGGCCTGGACGCCCTGAGAGGCCCCTGGGGTGGGGCCCCTCATTCTCCCCTCCTTGTTTCTGACTCAGCCCCTCCCCCAGCTCCCTGCTCTGTCTCCGGGTTTGGGGGAAAGGTAAGATGGGGGGCGGGGGTTGGCACCAGATGCAGATGTGTCCACATCTGTTCTCCATCACCCCTGAAACTGGAGAAGCAGGAATGCTCGCGTGCCTCCCCAGGGGCCAGGGCCCGGTCACCCGGCCGGGAGGGTTGGGGGGAGAACCCGGCGCTAGGCACCTGGACTACAGCCGTGCTGGCCCTGAGGGGGCCCCCCACCCCTGGTAGCCTTGAGAGTGTGAGAGTGAGGGTGAGGGGAGCCCAGGAACCCGGGAGGACCCGGCTGACCTAGGTCAAGGTCTTAATCTGCACCTGTGTCCTTGGGTGCCCGCGGGGCTGGGGCACGGGCTGGGCTGGGAGCCAGCGGCCAGCTCTGTGCTGAGGTATGTGGATGGGGCCTCAGAGGAAAGTTGGGTGCGTGGCCCCGGGGGCCGGTGGGAATGTGGGTGGTGCTGAGATTGTGCAGTCCCTTGGGGCCCCCGCCCCCTCCCGGTGCAGGGAAGAATGAAGAGGATTGTTTGAATCCACTTAGCCTAACCCCGGCCTGCCTGCCTGCCCGCCCCCCCATCAAAGGCGGGAACCGGAAGTCCTGGAAGCTGCTCAGGGGAATCCTGAGGAGATGAACTCCGACTCACCTCTGCTCTGAGCCATGCACCGCAGGGAGCCTTGAGCCGCTCCAGGCCAGTCCCTGGGCCTCTATGTGCTGCCCAGCTGGGGACAAGGACTGGGACAAGGACTCCGACTCCTGGTCCCGTTCATGGAGCCCCACGTGCTGGTCCAAGGGAGGAGGTCGGAGAGCGAGTCTGATGGGGCTGTTGCTAGGGTGTGGATGGGTCTGAAAACTGAGCTGTTCTGGCTGCCCTGCGGCGTCTCTGGTCAGGCCTGTGCCTAGCCTGGCCTGCATCCACTCCACCCTTAGCCACAAGCACTGCCCACCAGAGCCTGGGGATACAGATGGGCCGGGGCAACTGTCCGGGGTGGGGTGGGGGCTCACTCACCTCTGCTCTGCAAGTGTTCTCAGACCCGCTGCAGGGACAGTGAGTGTCCAGAATGGGGACCCTGGACCACAGCTGCCCTCCTGCCCCAGAGACCCCAGACTATAGCCTTCCCCCCGCCCCAGAGACCCCAGACAACAGTTGTTCCTCTTGCCCCAGAAACCCCAGACTATAGCCACCCCCAACCCCAGAGACCCATCCTGCTGTCCCTTCTGGTCCGGCCCCTGCCCACCTCCTGCTTAGAAGCACATGTAGAGAGGCTTGTCTTACTCCTTCTCCTTTTGGGGTCACCCCACTGCACTGGCCTCTGCCCTCCCAGTGCCCACCACCTGCCACAGCTTCCTGGACCTCCTGTGTTTGCCACTCATCCTCAGCCTCCTCTTGGAAGAAGGCCCAGAACCCCACAGTCATTGGAAACTCCCTCTCCTCTGCTCCCTCATGCCCAGACAGTCCCGGCGTCCCCCTGCACTCCCCCAGACGCTGCCCTGCAGTTGTCACTGCCATGTGAGGGGTCCTTTGAAAATGCCCAGAGCTGGGCCTTTTGAGGCTCAGAAATGGCTGCAGGAGTGGGGACTCTTGCCACTCTGCTTCCCTCCCCAGGGAGCTGTGGCGCCACTGAACCCTGGCTCTGCTGCTCTCCAAGCCCATTTGGGCAATACCCTGAGCAGAGCTCTCTCCTGGTCTGTAAAGGGGGACAGTGCCCTCACCTCTTAGGGACCTGAGCTCATGCAGGGCACCAGCGGTGCTGTGGCCCTATAACCAGGGGTTTCTGCTGTTTTCATGTCAATCGAGTCCCCCACAGCCCTGAGCTCTGTCCTGCTCAAGCTCCCTTGCCTGTGTCAACCTGTTTCTTGCTCAGCCTTGGGGTCTGGGCGAGCTGAGGGCCTGGGTGATCTCAGCCACATTCCCTACCGCCTGCAACCCCCCTCCATCCACTCATCCCCCCCCCTCGGTGCCATGTGCCCTCCCCTTCTTTACCCAAGGAGATGCCAACTGACTTCCAGACTCACATCCCAACCTACCCCGTGGACACCTTGCACTCGCTTTCCTCTGTTTTCCTGCTTAAAAAGATAAATGTGGGGCTGGAGCGATAGCACAGCGGGGAGGGCATTTGCCTTGCACGCGGCCAACCCGGGTTCGATTCCCAGCATCCCATATGGTCCCCTGAGCACCGCCAGGGGTAATTCCTGAGTGCAGAGCCAGGAGTAGCCCTTGTGTGTCGCTAGGTGTGACCCCCCTGCCGAAATAGCGAAAAAAAAAAAAAGAATGCGTCTTGAGAAGACGACGCTGTCTCAGGCGGGCGGCATTGCGCTTCCACATCGGTGCGCTCATGACCATTCTGTCCCCTCCCAGGCCTAGTGTGCGTCCATCACCAGGTAGCTGACCCTTTCATTGCATTTGCTCACCCCCAAACCCTTCCCCTCTGGTAACCACCCATCTGTTCTCTACATCTGTTTCTTTCGTTTGTTTTCTTTCTACATCTTCCCCATGAGTGGAATAATATAATATTTGTCCATCTGACCCACTTTGCGAAGCATAAGACCCTCCAGGACCGTCCAAGTTATTGCAAATGGCAGAATTCCTTCTGCTTTTAGTAGCTGAATGGCATGCACGGAGCTGCCTGCACATTTTTCTCTAGTCAGTCAGCAATTAGGTTGTTTACTTTGGTTTGTTTGTTTTTTGGTTTGAGGGCCACACACGGCTGCGCTCAGGGCTTACACCTGCCTCTGCACTCAGGAACCACTCCTGGTGGGGCTCAGGGGACCACACTGGATGCCGGGGATCGAACTCAGATTGGCTGCATGCAAGGAGAGCACCCTGCCTGCTGTACTATCTCTCTAGCTCCTGCTTTTTTTTTTTCCATTTATTTCTTTTTGAGCCACATCTGGCGGCGCTCAGGACTTACTCCTGGCTCTGCACTCAGGAATCACTTCTGGTGGGGTGCAGGGGGACCCCATGCCAGGGATCGAACCAGAGTCTGCCCTGTGCAAGGCAAACACCCCCCTCCCCCCACTGGCCCCTTGTTTGCTTATCTTGACTGCTGTGAATAACGCTGCTGAGCCCAGAGGGGCACCTGGATTTATAACCTAATATCTTCCTCGTGTTCAGATCAGAACCCAGAAGTGGGTCGTTGGAGCAGCTGGCGTTTCTCCCGTTAATTCTCCCCAGGGAATCACCAGCTTGTTTCCCACGGTGTCTGCCCCCAGTTTGTGCTCCCAGCAGTGCCGGGGCTTTCCTTTCCTCCACTTCCCCTCAACACTTGTGGCTCCATCTAAGCCATGTGAGGAACTCAGACAACTCAGCAGGACCCTGAGTGGAGGTTTCATCAGGGAAGAATGCGGACAGCCGCGGGAGAGAACCTGGGTCGGCCCCGTGCAAAGCAAGTGCCCTGCTGGCTGCGCTGCTGCTCTGGCCCCAATCCCACATCCGCCCCGTTTTTTAAAAATCAAGTTTAGGGGCTGGAGCGATAGCATAGCGAGTAGGGCGTTTGCCTTGCACGCAGCCAATCCGGGTTCGATTCCCAGCATCCCATATGGTCCCCCGAGCACCGCCAGGAGTAATTCCTGAGTACAGAGCCAGGAGTAACCCCTGAGCATTGCCGGGTGTGACCCCAAAATAAAAAAATAAAAAAATACAATAAAAATAAAAATCAAGTTTAGGGGCCACACCCAGCAGTATTCAGGGCTGTTCTTGGCTCTTTGCTTAGGAGTGAACCCTGGCAGTGCTCAGGAGACCAGATGTGCTGGGTTTCGCACCAGGGTTGCCGCTGACACAGCACATGGGATGCGAGTACTCTCCCTCCAGCACTATCTCTCTGGGCCCTCACTCCTGCGTCCTTGAGCCTCTCCTGTGCCCCTCTGAGGTCAGGTCCCTGGCCCCAGCCTATCAGACATCAGTCTTACATGGCCTGTTTCTGTTGCTCAGGCCTCAGACTGATATTTGAGGGCCACGAGTCTCAGTCACGCTGAGTTAAGAGGTGGGGGGAGTGAGGCAGAAAGACAATCTAGCAGGCAGGGCGCTTGCCTTGCACGCAGCTGACCCGGGCTTGATCCCCAGCACTCCATATGGTCCCCTGAGCCCCACCAGGAATGAGCCCTGAGCACTGGTAGGTGTGCCCCCCCTTCACACTAACGAAAGAGATAGTTGGTGGGGGTGGCCCTGGTAGTAACGGGTGGTCCCCTAAACAAGCCCCGAGAGGCATCCACGGGGCAGAGTGGGTCCTCTTTGGGGCAAAGGGTAGCAGGGGCACCTGGAGCAGGAACCGTTTGCTGAGCCTGCCTGGGTCCAGGTCCTTGGCAGGGAGGGGGTGCAGACTGAGAGGGCCCAGAGTGGTGGCCCTGAGCCCAGGCCTCTGCTGACCTGAACCCCATCCCACACGCTAGAGGAAGAGAACTGGACATGTGGCAGGAGCCCTTCCCCCCAGGGGGTAGCTGAGCCCCACTTTGCCTTGGAGAGTGGCTTGGGAAGACCCCCCCCTCGCATACCCCCAGCATGAAGCCCTGCTTCCGGGGCTCTGCGATGCACGTTTTGGGGGAGTGAGCTCGCTCAAGGGGTCCTGGCCAGTACTCACGGCGGCTCCGAGGCCCCTGAGCTCAGCCCAGGTCTGGGCATTTCTCTTCAGCTGAGAGTGCTAGGATGAGGCAGGGGTGGGGGTGGGGGTGGGGGTGGGGGCATCCTGGAGGAGGCCTCGGCTGAGCACGGGCTCGGGGATGTCTTACCCGCTCTGCTTTGCCCTTCAGTGGGCATATGACTTGGCTGGGGCGTGGACCCTCACTGCCCTCATCTTTTCGTTGCCTCCTCCGTGGACCTGTCTCTGAGCCCAGCTAGGGAGTAGAGAGAGCTGGAGCACTGCCAGGGCACGGGGATCCCCTGGGATAACTAGAACAGGGATTCCTACTTAGGTCTATGCAAGGAGCAAAGCTTGATGGCTCATGAGCCCTGAGCACTGTTAGGTGTGCCCCCACCCACACCTAGTGTGGCCTGGATGTCAGCCCGCACTTTGGGCAGTGCACAGCCTGTTCAACTGCACATAGAAACCTTTCAGTGCAAGGGAATCAAGAGGAGATCTATGTTCCTTCCGAAGATGAAAGAAGGTCATCCTAGTGATGGCACAGGGCAGATTTTACAGCGAAGAGTGGAGGACACATGACAGGACCAAACACTCAGTGGCTTGTCTTGGTCAATACGCAAAGGCACAGTTCTGTGACAAGGTCTGTGAGGCATGGAACAATCAGGAGGGCTTCCTGGAGGAGGAAAGGGGCAAGAGAGCAGGCCTTGAAGGAGAAGAGGAATCTGGGTGAGAAGAAAGAGGGAATCAGGATTGACCAGGCCACAGGCTTCTCTTGTGGGGGCAAGAGACCCTGGGGAAGTCTGAGACGGTGGGAGTGGGCGAGGAGAGTCAAAGGGTGGAGGCTGGGTGGTGGGTGGGACCCAAGGTCTCTGGATCCCAAACCCCAGCCAAGGCCTGATGCAGTCTTTGCTTCCCTGCAGTCCTGTGCCCCCCTGCCAGCACAGCGTGCCCCCCGGCCTCCTCCATGCCTGCCTGGCCCTGCTGTCCGTGAGTCTCTCGAGTTCTCTGCCCACTGCTTCCTGGCGGGGTGGGGGTCTGTCTCAGGGAGCCCCAAACATGGGAGGGTCTCTGGGGATCAGGGCCCACCTGGGCTCCTGGGGAGGCCCCCAACCCACCCATACTGGCCTTTGCTCCCCTCCAGGTCCTTGGGCTGCTGCTGCTGTCCGTGCTGGTGCGGCGCCGCTGGCTCTGGCCCCGCTGTGGCCAAGGCAGACCCGGACTGCCCAGGTGGGTGGTGTGCCCAGCGCCCCCACTCCGGGGCCCAGGTCTCTAAATGCAGGCCTCAGGGACACTCCCTCCATCTCAGCCTGGGGAATGGCCCCACCCCTACTCAGCTCTCCACAGTTAGAGGGAGCCCCTCAGGGGTTCTATTCCAGGCCCCAGGGGCACAGAAGCCCAGCAGGACCCGGCCCCAGGATGTGTCCCCTCAGGACATGGTCACCCTGCATCCCCCCAGGTGCTGGCCCATGGGTCCTCCCGCTCCCCAAGGTGAAGTCATGAGCCAGAACCGCCCGCACCCATCTCCTCCACGCCTGGACCCTGAACTAGGCCTGCCTGGGGGTGGTACAGAGGTGGAGGCAGACTGAGGGGTTGGGGGCGGGGGACTGTCCGGGGCCCAGTGCCCGCCATCTGCCCTCTTCCCCAGGGCCACGCCCAGGCCGCAGCCGCTGCCCCAGGATGTTGTGACTTGTGTGTGCTCTGAAGCTCTGCCAGGGCGGACAGGCTCGCGTGGGGGCGGCTGCTTCCTGGCGCATCCAGGGCTGTGTGTCCTGTCCCCCGTCCACCCCCCGCCCACCCCCCGCCCCGCACAGTGCTGGCGGACACTCCCAGGACCGGCTCATCAGCCCCCACAAATACTTGTGGAACGGGGGGGAGACCACGTCCAAGTGTCCCTGGCCACAGATGGACCTCCCCTGTCTGCCCAGGGGCAGGGCAGAGGTGAGGGGGGCTGGGAGGTGGGGGTGGGGTCTAAGGAGATGCCTTCTGCCCCCTCCCTGTCCCAGCCCCGTGGACTTCTTGGCGAGGGACCAGCACCGGATGGTGCCCGCCGCTGTCTTCATGGTCCTCTTCAGCTCCCTGTGTTTGCTACTCCCCGAAGAGGCCCCGCTGCCCTTCCTGAGCCGTGGGTCACCACCCAGCCCAGGTACTGAGTAGCCCGAAGGCCCGTGCGGGCAGGCCTTACAGAGGGCCAGGGACACCCGTCAGCTAGACTCCCTGCCAAGCCAGCTGTCACCGTCCCTCCCACACGCCCGAGCTCCACCGCGGGTCCCAGCCAGTGTCCATCACCTTCTCTGCTCCTTCTGTCCTGCTGGTGGGCCTGGAGCCCAGCCCGGTGTGAGGAAGGACGAGGACATGTCAGCTCTGGCTTCACCTAGACGAGTGTCACCAAGAGAGGCTGCCCCTCGGGGCTCCGGGGCTCACAGTGACAGCAGCATGTGGTCCTGACAGCTCTCCCACCCCCACACCCCCCCAGCAGTGGAGGATGTCGCGGGTCTGAGAAGGGGACGGGAGGTTGTAGTGACTTCATCGAGTGCTCCTCAGGCACTTCAGCCTGGCTAATGGACTGCCATTATGTCCATTTTACAGATGGGGTAACTGAGACTCCAAGAGGTAACTCGCCCACAAGCACAGAGCCTGCACGTGAACCCAGGGCCTTCCTTGCAGGAGGGTGTGGAGCTGGAGGGGCTGGATGGGGACCCCTAGGCTGTCCCCCACCCCTTATGTGTCTCTCTGCTGTCTCGCTGCTTTCCAGGGCCCTGGAAGATGCTGGCTTTGCTCTACTACCCTCTTCTCTACTACCCGCTGGCCGCCTGTGCCACCGTTCCACACAGAGCTGCACACTTGCTGGGCACCACGCTGTCCTGGGCTCACCTCGCAGCACAGGTGTGGCAGAGAGCAGAGTGTCCCGAGGCACCCCAGGTGAGCCAGACACCCCAGGCTGTGGACGTGGGGAGCCTGGGGGAGACAGCCCGGCTCTTCCCATCTGTGCATGTGGGGCCAGCTCTGCCTTCTGCTGGCACTGGAGCCCCTGCACGCTGGGCTCCGGCAGGGCCAGGGGCAGGGCAGAGGGAGAGCACAGAGGAGGGAGAGGACGGCTGAGATCCCCTCACGCCTCACTCCCCTCCCTAGGAATGGCAGTGCAGTAAGAAGACTTGTAGGGGGTGTGGGGGCAGGCACAGGGAATGGGGGCGTGGGCTTAGAGGCTACAGGCCAGGTATGGTGATCTGAAACCCCGGCTCTGAATCCAGCTCATAGCTTCACTCCCTCATTCAGTCATTCAATGAACACAGTCCAGCCACGTTGTCAGTGCTCGCCGGGGCAACCTGGCGCTAGGATTTGACGGTGAACGAGACAAAGACTCCGGCAGCCCAAGAGCTGCCCATTCAGATGGGAAAAACATGACGGAAACAAAGAATCAAAACACTAACCAAGCGGTCCTGGGGATGAGCTAGGACGGAGCAACTCTCGTCCCAGTGCTCTGGGGTGGCAGAGACTTTTTGGTGCTTGCTGAGAGCAGAGACTGGGTTGCTCTTTTGTCCTTGTGTGTATTTTCTGGGGTTTACACCAGGGCTTACTCCTGGTTCTGCACACAGAGATCACTCCTGGTAGGACTGGCGGGGGGACCATATGAGCACAGCGATTGAACCCATGTTGGCTGGGTACAAGCCAAGAGCCCTACCTGCTGTACTATCTCTCTGGCCCCGGCCTTTTTTGTTTGTTTGTTTGGTTGGTTGCTTTTTGGGCCACGCCTGGCAGTGCTCAGAGGTTATTCCTGGTTCTGGGCCCAGGGATCACTCCTGGTGGGGCTCAGGAGGTCATACGGTGTGCCAGGGATCGAACCCTGGTCAGCTGCATGGAGGAGACCAGCGCCCTCCCTTCTGTGCTCTCACTCCGGCCCCTCTTTTATGTTTTGTGTGTGTTGCTGGGAATCCAACTAGGGGCCTCATGAATGCAAGGCCTGTGCTTGACCTGAGCTGCTGGGGGGGACCTTCCTTGGCTGGACTCCACCACTTCCATCCCGCTGCTTAAGACACTCCACAGCAACGGACTGAGAGAAGGGGCCGGCCAAGGCACGGTCCTGATGGCCATAGACAGAGCAAGGTCTCCGTCTCGGCTTCAGGGGCCCATGTTCAATGCAGCAGGGATGTAGGGACATGGAAAGTGGACGTCTCCCATGTCGGGTTCCACTCTGGTCCCCGGGGCTGGAACATTTCATCTCCTTTGGCTTCTCTAAGGGCCGGGAGCCTGGGGGGTGGGGGGATGAGGGGGGCAAGTGGGGCATTTCCCATGAGTGCCAGGTATGTGAGGGAGGGTCTGGCACCTTGCCTTCCCTTGGACAGAGCCTGTGTGAGGGCAGGGGTGGTGGGTCCGGGTGTGGGGTTGCGAGAGGTAGGTTACAGGAGCAAGTGTGTGTGTGTGTGTGTGTGTGTGTGTGTGTGTGTGTGTGTGTGTGTCCAGATCTACAGGTATTATTCCCTGTTGGCCTCCCTGCCTGTCCTGCTGGGACTCGTCCTGCTGAGCGTCTGGTACCCGGTGCAGCTGCTGAGGAGCTTCAGACACGAGGCCAGAGCGGGCTGGAAGGTAATGGGGCCCCCTGCCTCATGTTGTCCCACTGGTCATGCCCGGGTGGGGCCGAGCACAGAGCAGAGGCCAGTGTTGGCTCTTGCAAGGGACCAGAGTCTCCCCTGCCCAGGGCTACCCGGGGAATCTCAGTAGCGAACTGGGTCGGGAGATGGGAAAGCCACGGGTCGGGTCTGAAGTACCGAGGAGCAGCACAGGAAGCATAAGCTTTGGGTGTCTTGGGCGCCCTGCAGAGGCTGGCCTGAGTCCCACGCGCCCACAGCAGCACCATCTCAGGAATGCATGCTAGGTTGGATAATGTCTAATAAAGTGAGGGCTAGGAAACCAGAGGCAGGTTCAGGAGGACTTCCTGGAGAAGGCAGCCTTTGGCAGGGAGGCTCTGGACGGGGTAGAGAATAAAGAGGAGGCACCGCAGGCATAGCAGAAGTCAAGGAAAGGGTGAAAATGGGGTGTGTCTGTTCTGCCCATGCCTGGTTCACGGGGCTGGGCAGGTCTTAGCACATTACAGACACAGGAGATGTTTCTGAAGTTCTGAATGGCGGAGGAGGAGGGCAGGTGGGTGGGTGGACACGTCATGGCAGGGAGGATTCTTGCAAGATATGATAAGCTCCTTGAGAGGCTTCAGCATTACACGTGCCAGGCCCTGGGGTAGGGGCCCCGACTGGAGCCCACTGCCCTGGTTCTGACCTCAGGAGCGGCCCGGGCTGAGCTGGGCAAGCTGGAGGCCACATCTGATGCTCATGGGGTGTGCCCAGGCCAGGGGGCGCAGTGGGGGTGATGCCCACACTGTACTGCTCCTCGGGGCCTCAAAGGAGAAGAAGCCAATCAGGACCAAGGACCCAGGCCAGTGTTGGTGGCTGGATTCCAGGAGGGGAAGTGGCAGCCGTGGAGGTGGCCTCCCAGCCTGCAGGACAGGCGCCAGCTGGCAGCTGCTGTGGCCTGCCTGGTGTCTGGGACCCAGGGCTGGGGCGAGCAGAGCATCGAGGTACCTTGTGGTGGGTGGTCCTTAGGGACTGAAGATGAGAAGGTTGGGACCCTGTCCTGGGGGGGTGTGGGGTGTGGTTGGAGCTGCTGGCATCTCTCCCTTCCTCACTTGGATGTCCAGTGCCTGGTCCTGGTGGCCACTGCCCTCCTCATGCCCTCTCTCTTCTGGGGAGTCATCACCCATCTATTTTGCAGCTGGCCCAGAACCCCACTGCTCTCCCGCAGGGCTGTCTCACCCTCTTCCCAGCAGGCCTCTGTCCTGGAGAAGCCTGGAGGGAACTGTGTCCCCACCCTAGCCATCGCTGCCCTGAAGCCCCGAGGAACACGGCCAACTTTGGAGCTGACCCGCCCTGGCCCTGGCCCTGCAGCAGGCGCCATGCCCAGGGGATTCCCATCATCCTGGGGCCTCTGCCCTTCGGCAGGCGGTCGGCAGCCTGGAATGTGGCTTAGACATAATCCCGTGCCCTGGGCTCAGCTGAGGCGGAGGAAAGGAGCGGATCTGACCCGGAATGGCCCCGTCCTGTGCCATCAATGACTGGGATGTGCTCAGGAGACAGAGACGAGGGACCTGGGGGATGGAGAGACACCCCCCACCCAGCTCTGAGGGTGCTCACAGGGCAGCTGAGACACGGTTAGAGGTTCTCATGCTGGAGTTCCAGGACCCCCACCTTAAGTCCACCTTCCTGTCTGCCACAGTGGCCACAGGGCGACCCGTCTGAAGTCTACCTGAGGACCCTCCTGGGTGGGAAGAAGCTGGAGACCAGGTGAGGCTCGAGGCACCCCTGGCGGGGATCGGTGGAGACCCACGGAAAGGCTGCGCGGGGGGTGGTGGTGGTGTCTGTTTCGAGGGGCTGGCATGGGAAATAAGGTGAGCAGAGACAGGGATGGACAAACGGGGGCACGTGGGGGCTTCTTCTGAGCCCCCCACCCCCGGCCTTTCTCTCGGCAGCTCACACAGCACCAAGCAGGGCTTCCTGGCCCAGTTCCGGGGCTGCCTTCGACGCTGTGCCTATACTCCGCAGGCAGGTAGGAGGGTCCTCGAGGAAGCGAGACCCCCGGGGTGGACAGGTGACCCCCCTGAACAGCTGCAGATGGAAAACTCCTTCCTGATTCCCCATCCTGGGCAGCGGGCGGAGCAGCCCCAGTTCTGGCCCCAGGGAAGCCCTTGGCTTGGATGGTGCAGGGGGGCCGGGTCTTTTCTGGGCTGGGGCTCTCGGGCCAGGGATGCTGGCGCTCACATGGCCTGCTCCTTTCTGGGTCTGCAGGATTCCGACTCCCTCTGAGCCTGGTTCTCTCCGCCACCCTGATGGGGACGGCCATTTACCAGGTAGGTCCTGCCACTGGGCTGCCATTTGTCATGGTAGCCCCTCCCCAGGCTCAGCCCCACTCTCTTGGCCACATAGTCGAGATTCCTCCTCTTCCTCCTCCTCCTCCTCCTCCTCCTCCTCCTCCTCCTCCTCCTCTCCCCCCCTCCTCCTCCTCCCCATCCTCCTCCGCCTCTTCCTCCTCCTCCTCCGCTTCCTCCTCCTTCTCCTCTTCCTCCTCCTCTTTCTCCTTCTCCTTTTCCTTCTCCTTCTCCTTCTCCTTCTCCTTCTCCTTCTCCTTCTCCTTCTCCTTCTCCTCCTCCTCCTCCTCTTCCTCCTCCTCCTCCTCCTCCCCTTCTCTTCTTTCTCCTTCCCCATCCCTGTCTCTGCCCCCTTCTCCTCCTCTTCTGCCTCTCTGAGAGTGGGAAATCCCCTGTGGCCAGGTCAGAATCTGAATCTGAGCCTCCGTTCAGGGACGATGCTGGGCTTGGCTCTCTCCCCGTGGGAACACTGAGTATTTGCTGTTCTGTGGTGTGGACAGCTGTGCTGGTTCCTGGATAGAGAGGAACAGACACACGCTCGGGTTCCTGGAACATATCCTCGTGGCCCCTGGCTGATATCAGCCTCCGGGGGGCACAGAGCCTGGTGGTTAGGACTTGGGGGGCTGTCCCATCTGTTCCCCAGGGGCGAGGAGGCTGCCGAGGGCAGCTCAGGAGAGGCTGACCTGGGCCTGGCGGGCCTGCTGCCAGCACAGCCGGGCGCCTCATTCCTGGGCCTTCCAGGTGGCTCTGTTGCTGCTGGCGGGTGTGGTGCCCACCGTCCACAAGGTGAGGGCAGGCGTCGACACCGATGTGGCCTACGTGCTGGCCGGCTTCGGCATCGAGCTGTCGGATGACAAGCAGGAGGTGGTGGAGCTGGTGAAGCACCACCTGTGGGCACTGGAAGGTGAGACTGCCCGCTGGGCCCTGGGCTTTGAGCTGCCCGCCCCCCCCCCCCCCCGGAGAATTCATGCTAGTGAGCATGTGGGCGCCTCCCTTCCTCTCTGACTGCTCCATCCTCAAATTGGGGTGACCGGAACCTCCAGTCCCAAGTCCCTGGCCTGGGGGGTCATCTCAGCAGCCCCTTGTGCTTCTGAGGTGACTCAGCCCCAGCCCTGCACCTGCGCCCACCTCCAGGTTGGAGAGGAGCAGCACTGTGGAGTATGGGGGTTGTGGGGACAGCACTGGGGCCTTTGCGGGGTGAGGGTGGGCGCTATGGCAGGGACGTGGCCAAGGACTGCAGTGAACCCCAGCGGAGGTTGGGGGTGGGGTTGGTGGGGGCACATGTTTTCAATCCCCATCCTTGCCGGGCCAACTCCTTTCTCCTGCTTGAACAATGAGGTCAGACCCAGGAACTCAGGATGCCCCCTGTGTGGGCCCCAGACTGCCCCCTTCCCTGCCCCCTTTAGCCTTGAACCCTGTGCCAGCCTCCCTTAGCCCCTTCTGGTCGCCATGGCAGACTCACGCACAGCAGCGTGGAGGGTGTGACTCAGAGCACGTGTGGGGCTGAGGAGAGCCCAGCCTCCCTGCATTAGAGCCAGGGGCTCAGGACTGCACCTGACTGCACCCTGGAATTCCCTGGGGTGCTTTCACAAAAACTGGGGCATTGGTTCCCTATCCAGAGGTCCTGACTTTTTAGACCTGAGTGCCAGACAGACCACAGTGGGTGGCTGACAGTGCCAGGAGCCCCCCCCCCCCCCGCCCACACACACACAAGCATCCTGCTAGTGCCTCCAAGGGCCCCCACTAGTCATCCCGCATTGGCCCGTGGGCCTAACAGGCCAGCGTGCTCCTGAGTGCCCTGGAGGGGCCTGGGCGACGCCCCGTCTGGTCTTCTGGGAAGGTCGCCATCTCCCTCCATCACGTCTCAGCAGTGCAGCCTAAGCTTCTGGGAGCCCCAGCCGCCTTGGGACCGCCGTTTCTCTGGGGGGCTGGGGTGCGAGGCTGCTGCGGGGTTGCAGACAGCCCCGCACCTGCTCGGCCAAAACACCAGGCTGGCTTACAGCCCCCGGGCATCCTCCCGGGAGGAACAGCAGGACACTGGGCATGGCCCGGAGGGGCAGGAGGAGGCTGGAGTGCATGGCGCAGGGCACAGGGGGGTGCCCAGCAGGCGGCCCTGCGCCCAGCCTCCCTTCTTGCCCCCTCCCTTCCTGCAGTGTGCTACGTGTCCGCGCTGGTCCTGTCCTGCTCACTCAGCTATCTGGTGCTGACCCGCTCACTGGCGGCACACAGGTCAGTGCCAGCTGGTGCCGGAGTGCTCGGGAGACAGGTGGGAGTCCTTCGTGAGGCCAGGGGGCGGGGGGGCAGCCGTGGCTCTGCAGGCCCAGGTTTTTTTCGAGTCCACCTGCCTAGCCAATCCGGTCAGGCAGGGTGGACAGTCTGTGATGTGGCTGCTGCAGGGTGGGCTGGGCCCCTGGGCAGGGGTCCCTGGGGTGGATAGTGCCCCTGGTAGCTGTGTGAGCACAGGGAGGGAGACCCTAGGCTTTGGGGGGAGGGGAGGGGAGAGGGGTCACTGAAGAGATGATGAGAGGATGCTGACTTGCCCAGCCACCTGGTAACCAAGCGACAAGGAGAACTGAGGACTCTGAGCAGAGAAGGTTCTAGATGGGCGCAGGGTAGGAAAAAAGGGGAAGGAGGGCTGGAGCAATAGCACAGCGGGTAGGGCGTTTGCCTTGCACGCGTCTGACCCGGGTTCGATTCCCAGCATCCCATATGGTCCCCTGAGCACCGCCAGGAGTGCAGAGCCAGGAGAAACCCCTGTGCATCGCCAGGTGTGACCCAAAAAGAAAAAACAAGGGTGGGGAGGAGGTGTCCAGAGACTCATCTGCATGCCCCTGTGCCCATGTCAGGCCTCAGGGGTTCACCCCAGGGGACTTTACCCCCAGGGGCAGGCCCAGCTGAGCAACAAGGGAGGGGCTGAGTCTCTCCCCCTGGGAACTTGCCTCCTGCCCCAGGGGCTAAACTATACTCCCCCCCCTCCCCCCACACACACACCTGCTGCTTTCTCACTTTTCTGACTGGGCTTGGCTTGCTTCTGCCTAAGTTTCCCTCCTTCCACGCCCCCACCCATCCCACCAACTTAATCTTATTCACCCTTTAAGACTCTGCCCAGGTACCCCCTCCTCCAGGAAGCCCTCCTGACACCTCAGGGCCGGTCTGTGGTCCCCTCTGGGCTGTCAGAATCTTGGCTGTGGGTGGTATTCAGCCTGGGAGTTCCTGTGAGTGAGCCTGCCTCCCCCACCCCCACCCCCAGGGTCAACCTGCGAATTCTACACCGAGGGGCTGCCTTGGCGCTGGGCCCCCTGGCGCAGACCCCCTGCCCCTCCCGCCAAGCCATATTCTGCTGGATGAGCTTCAGCGCATACCAGACTGCGTTCACCTGCCTGGGTGAGTGTCGCTTGACCGCCCCCCCCTGCTCAGCTGGCTCTGGAGGGAGAACTCAGCAGGGCCTGGCTGCTGGGGGGGGGGTCTCTTTCTGGGCTGGGGCAGGATGGAAGGTCAACCCAGCCTCACTCCCCAGCCTTCAGAAGCTCCCTCAGGGGAACAGAATGGACCCTGTGTGCGACTGAGTGCATACAGAGGGGACCCCACGCTGCTATTTCTTAGGGAAGCAGTGAGGACAGTGAGTAGGAAGTAAAAAGTAGTGGTGTCTGGGAGGTAGTGAGATCCCCGTCACTGGGGGTATGCAAACAGGCTACACCGATATGGGGGGGGGGCGGTGTTCAAGCAGACCCTAGAATCAGAGAGATAGTATAAAGGCTAAGGCATTTGTTCACACACAGTCGACTTGAGTTCAGTCCCCTGAAAACCATTAGGAGTGATTCCTAAGCTCAGAACCAGGAGGAACCCCTGAGCACTGCTAGATGCTCCTCCCTCCCCCCAAATGGGGGTGGGAGTTGAACTAGATGAACTCCCAGGTCCCCCTCAGTCCTGGTTTCTCCCTGAGACGGCAGAGGGGGCAGGACTGATGGCGCCCCGCTGGTCCTTGGGTTCTCACCTGAGGTGAGAAGGTGGCCAGGAGCAGAGGGAATTTCTAGCTCCCAGCGCGTCTGCAGTGCTTCCCCTCTCGGCTACCTTATTGCACACCATCCACAGCACCCCCTGGCGGCAGGTTCTGGGTTCTAATTACCAGAGGGCAGCCCTGCCCCAGGGACTAGAGCAGCTGGGAAAAGGCCTTTGCAAAGCACGTGGTGGTTTTCCAAGGAGTCATCACAACAGCCCCTGCCTGGGAGCGCGACCAGCTTTCCAGCAGGACCTGACAGCAGGTCTCACAGCGCCCTGAGTCCTTGACTCCCTGAACCTGGGCTCCCACAGGCCCATGGTGCTGATGCCTGCCCGGGCCCTCGCTCCACAGGGCTGGTGCTACAGCAGGTCATCTTCTTCCTGGGGACCTCGGCCCTCACCTTCCTGGTGTTCATGCCCGTGCGTTATGGCAGGAACCTGCAGCTCCTCCGGTCCCTGGAGTCCTCGTGGTGAGACAGGCAGGGCACCAAGGCTGCAGGGTGTGGGGGGACCCCCGTCAGAGGGGCCTCCCTGCGTCACCGTCTCCCGCCCTCCCGCAGGCCCTTCTGGCTGACCTTGGCCCTGGCCGTGATGCTGCAGCACCTGGTAGCCCACTGGGGCTTCCTGGACACTCGCCACGGACACCCGGAGCTGACCAACCGGTGAGACGGTTTCTGGGCCCCCTCGGACCCTCCGTCTCTTCTTCGGTGTCTTCCTTTCTGCTCCCTTCTCTCCCCACTGCTGCGTCCCCCTTGTCCTCTCCGGGAGTTCGTAAGTCAAAGAGAGATGATCCCTGTCCAGCACAAGTCAGCTCAGTTTTCCGTACACCAGTCGGGGGCCAGAAACCCCCTTGGGAGCTGCTCCTGCTTGGGATTCAGTGCCACTCTCCGCTGCCCCCTCAGATCCCAGTCCCAGCTTTGCAGGGGAGCCACTAGGAACGGTATTTTCGCATGAGAGGGCCAGGCCATGGGAGCATATTGGATCTGGGAGGGAGGGAGAGGACAAGGGACCCAGAGGAAAGGAGGGAGATGGAGTCTGGAGGAGACCCTCAGCTTCACAGCCCCTCCCCGCTGCTGGCGATGCCTCAGTTTCCCCTCTATACTAGGGTGCGCAAGGCTGTCATGAGGTGATGAGGGTGGGCGTGGCGCTAGGTGGGTGCATGGTGTGCCCCAGAAAAAGAAAAGGATGAGGCCAGGGAGAGCCATAGTATAGCAGGGAGGGCGTTGGCCTTGCACGTGCTGACCGGGGTCCCATATGGTCTCCCAAGCACCATCAGGAATGATCCCTGAGCACAGAGTCAGGAGTAAGTCCTGAGCACTGCCAGGTGTGGCCCAAAGAGGAGAGGAGAGGAGAGGAGAGGAGAGGAGAGGAGAGGAGAGGAGAGGAGAGGAGAGGAGAGGAGAGGAGAGGAGAGGAGAGGAGAGGAGAGGAGAGGAGAGGAGAGGAGGAGGAGAGGAGAGGAGAGTAGGAGGAGAGGAGAAGAGAGGAGAGGAGAGGAGAGGAGAGGAGAGGAGAGGAGAGGAGAGGAGGGGAGGGGAGGGAAGGGGAAGGGAGGGGAGGGGAGGGGAGGGGAGGGGAGGGGGAGGAGAGGAGAGGAGAGGAGAACAGGAGGAGAGGGAGGAGAAGGTGAGGGGAGGAGGGGAGGGGAGGAGAGGGGAAGGGAAGGGAGGGGAGGGGAGGGGAGGGGAGAGGAGGGGAGGGAAAAATGGCTGTCCCAGGGGATGTGGGGGCCGTCGACCAACTTAGGGGACCAGCCCCCGTCTCCCCTCCCAGGCGTGCCCTCTCTGCTCTCACCTTCCTGTTCTTCCCCATCAACGTGCTCGTGGGCGCCATGGTGGCTGCCTGGAGGGTGGTCCTGTCCGCCCTCTACAACGCCGTCCACCTCGGCCAGATGGACCTCAGCCTGCTGCCTCCCAGAGCCGCCACTCTCGACCCCGGTGAGGTCAGGGGCTAGGGGCGGCGGGGTGCTCAGAGGGGCTATGTGAAACCCACTCATGGCTGTGGGGTATTGGGGGGATGTTCCCATGTGCCCCGGGGTGGTACATGTGGTGGCCGCTCACAGGTCCACGAGCGGGTGGGGGTCCGGTCACCACCCATCCAGCACTGCCCCTCGACCACCCTTAGGCTACCACGCCTACTGCAGTTTCCTGAAGATGGAGGCCAGCCAGTCGCACCCGGCCGTGGCAGCTTTCTGTGCCCTGCTTCTGCGAAGGAGGGACCCCCAGCTCCCTGCCAGCCCCCTGGACAGACTCCAACCAGGGCAGGAAGAGGAAGGTGCGTCCGTCCCCTGGGGAGGGGGCTCTGGGCCGCCCTGCCATCCCTGTCCAGCACATGTGGAGTCCAGGAGAGGACCTGGGCAGTGCCCGTACGCTGTAGGGGAGGAGAGTATGACCCTGTCCACTGTCCCTGTCCACTGCCCCTCTCCGGCCCCCTCGGCCCACCAATTCCCGGCTCCTGTGGGGAGTCACAACCCAGTCTTCGCACAGAGAACAAAGCACTTGCCTGGCTCAGAGCCCTCAGCACCCAGACCCTCCCCGCTCAGGAGCCCCTGTCTCTCCCGTTCTCCCCCAGCCCTCCTGCTCTCAGGATCCTGTGTCCCCCCAGCCCCGCTCTCAGGAGCCTGCCGCCCTGCCCTCCGTGCTGTGGGCAGAGTGGGTGGTGAGGGGACAGCCCTGCCTCCATCCCCTCTACCCTACCCAGGACGGCTACCATGCCTGCCTCCTCCCTGCGCCCCTCCTGGCTCCTGGGTTGCCAGCCTTCTCCCTGCCAGACCTGAGGCTGTCCCCCTGTGCTGCGGTCTGGGTGCGGGGCGCTGCTGTTTGCTGAGTGACTCACTGATGCTCTTGCCTTCCAGGGATGCAGCTGCTGCAGTCCAAGGCCCCGGGGGGCCAGAGGGCTGCGTGCAGAGCCCACCGCAGCCGAGCCCGCTGGGGCCTGGCCTACTCGCTGCTGCGCAACCCGGCACTGCGGGCCTGGCGGAAGCCCGGGCCACTGGGCAGTCGGGCAGGGGTTGGCGCTGGGTCCTGAGAAGGGCAGGGCAGAGCCGCTGATGGAGGCCCCGCCTCCTCCCCACTCGCCCCTGTCTCAGCACCAGCCGGTGGGGGCAGGTTGGCGGGAGAAATCAGCCCCCTGTGGACCTGGGGACCGGCTCTGGTGTGCCTGCCCTGACCTGGGCCAGCAGGGAGTCTGGACAAGCCCCAGCTAAAGCCCTTCCCGGCGGGCTGCCTGACCCACCGCTCATCTCCCTCCACCCATGGACCCAGACTCACATCTCCCGTCTCCCCACCCCTGCCGGGATGCCTCCCCTGGCCAGCAGGCCCCACCCTGGGCTCCCTGTGGCAGCCCCCGCGCCCTCACACCCAGGCCTGCTCTGTCTGGGGTTGGTTCACCTCCGAGAGTATGAAAGGGCCAGTGTCCTCCCTGTAATAAACGTGTCCCTGAGAAACTCCTCCTCCGTGGGCAGGCGGCAGGGAAACCTGCCCAGGGCTGAAAGTGCATGTTTATGGGGCCTGGGTGGTGCTGGCTGGGCTGGGCACTGGGTGCCCGTGGAGAGGGTCTGTGGCTGCATCCCTTGGGGAAGGGGAGAGCTGGGGGCCTGGAGGCCACCCCTGAGGTTGCAGGCTTGGGGTTGGAAGTACATGGACCCTAAAGGGTGGCCAGCAGTTAGGGCAGAGGATGGCTTTCAGGGGGGTGGGGGGGAGACGGAAGGGGTGGCAGGAAGGGGCCAGACCACCAAGGGCAGGATAGGGTCCCACTCAGCCCCCTGGGAAGGGGTCCATGTTCCTTGGCCCGGTGTGGAGAATGTGAAGGCACTTGGGGAATCTACTGGACACAGGGATAGCCCCTGGGTCACTAGGCCACCAGGAGCCATATGAGGGGGCCTGACTCACGTAGGAGGTGGGAGCCTCTGGGAGGGCTTGCTGGAGGAGGTGGAGCCTGAGCCTACATAGCTAAGTGTGCAACAGAGACCGTGAAACGGAGGAAGCAAAGGCACAAAGGAGGCAGCCCATCTGCAGCAGGGGGATGGGGGAGCGGGTGGAGTCAGAGGTCCCTCTGCAGCCCCAGCTGGGAACCCCCGCCTTGACCCCAAGAGCAGCGGGGACCACCAGCCACTGGAAAGCAGCGGATGGGGGTGGGACCTCTGAACTCAGGCCACAGCTGTCCCCCCCCGCAGCCGCTGACCCCGCATCAGGAGGACTAGGTCCTCCTCTAAGAGACCCAGTCAGAGACACGGGGTCCCCGTCTGGTTGGGGCTGCCCCGTCGGAGGAACTCAGAAGTTGATCAGAGCCTGAAGGCCCACAAGGAAGCGCAGACTCACCACAGCTGGGCATGTGGCTCCATCGAGCCCCTTCTATCCCTGCCACCAGCACCAGTGACATTAGTGGGACCTGCAAGCCAGTGGGCGGAGCCCGAGGGCCAGCAGAGGGGGCAGGGGGCCAGCCCACCGCTCAGCTCCTGGGCCCCCTGGACTCCCAGCTGGACTCCCAGTTCTGGGGGCTCTGGGAGAGGCCGCAGAACCCCCAGCCCAACCCTAAGCTTCTTAATCCCGAGAGCACCTGGATCTGGGAGGGGAAGGGCAGAGGCAGCAGGAGAGACACAACTCAGACCTGGCCTCGGAGTCTGATCCCATTCACATGCCCCCCCCATCCCGTGTCTCCTGTACCCCATCAGCTTCCGACTCAGCGACTGCAGAATCACTGATTCTCCTCCCAGGAACTCTGGGGGTACCTGGGGCCCCCAGGCCTCTTTCCCTCCCTCCCTCCTTCCTCTCTCCCTCTCCTGTGCCCCCCACCTCCTCCCTCTGGCCTTGCCTTTCTCCCCTTTCTTCCCTGGGCTGGGAAAAGCGACCACAACCCAAGCCTCCCCTAAGAACACCCCTTCAGGCTACGGCTCAGGGGGTGGGACGGAACGGGGACGCCTCAGCCAGGCGCTCAGACCCACACCTCAGTTCTGCCTTTGCGGGAGGGGGACATCTGCAGCTCGCCCTGTGGGGTGCCCTGCCCCCAGCTGCCCACGTGCACACAGGCTGGCCCCTTCTGCGGCTCTCCTCTGGTGGGGGGTGGGGGTGGGGTTGAGGGGCTTCCAGACAGAAGTCCAAGCAGACACGGGGAAGCGCCAGCAACACTTTATTCCTCCGCTAGCCCCGGCCTGCTGGCCGAGGACCGGCTACAGATGCAGACTTGAGAGAAAGGAATGGTCAGTGGGCAGTGGCGTGTAGGCTGACCAGAGGGACAGAGAAGAGGAAGCCCCTCTGGGGGCCTCCGGTTCCATAGAGATGTGGGCCAAGCTGCCAGGCCAGTGCTAAAGCAAGTCCCCTTGTGTCCTCTCTGCAGGCTGATCCCAACCCCCTCAGTCCCACCCGTCCCCCACTTGCTCATTCGTGCCCTGCAAGGGACCGGGCACTCCCACGTTAGCCTGTGGGGGCACCGGGGCCTGCAGTCAGCAGCAGTGAGCTTCGTAGCTGGTGGCAGGAAGTCTGCCCTAATTAGTTCTGAGCTAGAAATTGGGGGGGTGGCGAGGGTTCCAGAAGAGGAACCCTCAGAAGGGGAGGTAGGAAGCCGTGGAGCCCCACGGACACCTCAGGCGTCACAGCCCCCATCCCCCTGCACGGGGGCAGCCCTGCTCGGGCCACTCCAGCCCATGCCAGGTCGCGGTGGGACTAGAAAGAAGTGAGGAAGAGCAGGACGAGGAGGCTCTGGCCCAGAAGGAGCAGCCCGGGGGGCGGCCGCCCCAGACCCCCCTCTCCCACGGGCCCCCCGGCCTCGGGGCTCCCTGCACGGCTGAGGTAGATGATGACCACATTGTCCTCGGGCCCCGAGGGCTGCACCTCATTGTCGACCGTGTAGCAGCCCTTGGCCTCGGCGCCCTTGGCAGGAAACCTGCGACCCAGAGCTACCTCGCCCGCCTCGCCGGGGCTGGCCAGCGCCACGCTCACCGATCTCTCCGCGCTGCCCAGCTCGTTGGTGGCCAGGCAGCTGTAGGTGCCCTCTTCCAGCTTGCCAAAGTCGGGGATGAGCAGGCTGCCATTGGCAAAGGCCTGGAAGCGTGGCCGGCCGCTGGCGGGCAGGGCCCCGGGCAGGGCTCGCCCGTCCGCGCCCACGTTGGGGCTGGCGATCTCCACGGTGCCGCTGGGCGTCTGGATGTGCCAGTGCAGCTGGGGTGCGGGCTGCCCGTCCACGTCACAGTGCAGCGCCAGCACGAAGCCCGGCTGCAGCTCGGCACCTTCCTGGCTGGGCTGGTAGGTGAGCTGGACGGCGGGCGCCGAGCAGGGCAGTGGCAGCAGACGGCTTAGCGGCGTGCCCTTGAGCAAGTGCGGCGAGACGCAGGTGATGTTGTTCTGCTCCGGGATGGACACGGCGGTGGTCAGCGCCCACGTTTTGAACCACATGAGGCCGCAGTTGCAGTCGAAGGGGTTGTCGTTGATCTGCAGGTGGGACAGGGCGGTGAGCGGCGCCAGCGTGCCGTCGGCCAGCGTGTGCAGGCGGTTATGGTTGAGCTGCAGCGAGCGCAGGGCACGCAGGCCCCGGAAGGCGTCGCGCGGCACCGAGGTCAGCTCGTTGCTGTCCAGTTTCAGCAGCTCCAGGGCGCTGAGGTTGTGCAGGTCGCCCCAGGAGAAGTCGGAGATGAGGTTGTGGCTGAGGTCCAGGGTCTTGAGGTGGCCCAGCGAGGCCAGGGCGCCCGCTGCCACCCAGCGGATCTGGTTGTGCGCCAGCCACAGCGACTTCAGCAGCGGCACCTCCTGGAAGGCGCCCTCGGGCAAGGCCGGCAGCTTGTTGGCCGACAGGCTCAGCGTGGTCACGTTGGCTGGGAAGCCCGGCGGCACGGCCTCCAGGTCCCGGTAGGCGCAGTCGGCGCTCTGGAAGCCGTACTTCTGGCTACAGTCACAGCGCTTGGGGCAGGCCTGGGCCAGGTCCAGGAGGACGGCCCCGCACAGCAGGCGCAGTGCCAGCATCCTAGCTCCTGCAGAAGGGGGGGCACAGCACCCAGGTGACCCCCCACCCAGAAGACACTCGCCCCTTCCAGGACCCAGCCAAGTCACACAGCAGAGACCTGCCACCCCCCCTGGGACAGAAGAGGAAACTGAGGCCCAGACTTGCCCCGGGTCACACAGCCTGGCTTCCCCATCCCACAGCACTCCCTCTTCGGGGCCAGCCCCTGCTGCTGACTTTATGACTTGAAATCTGTTTCCCGGTCGCCCCCTCCTCCAGTGCTTCACAGAACCTGCCCCCCCACGCCCCCTCCCATGTCCCTCCCATCCGAGCCCCCCATAGGTAGGCTTGGGCTGGCCCAGACAGGCCCCTTGTGTAGTGCACACCACCCCCACCCGCCCCACCGCCCCCTCCTGCTCCTGCGACCCAAAGCCTCTTCCGTGGAAACTCCTCAGCCTGTTGGGTTCAAAGGACACCCCCCCCCCCCCCCGCCGGCAACCGCCCAAATCAACTCCCACAAGGATCCCTTAGCTGGCTTGGGTGAAGCGGGCTGGGGGTTCAAGCCCAAATGCCCCTGGTACTTCCACAGACAAATGCCGCTGTCAAGGAAAGGGAAGGACGGACAGACGGACAGATGTCCCAGGCAGATGCAAGGCAGGGAGAGTCCCCAGGCCCTCACCCAGCAGGGGCCTCCCTGCAGTTCCTCCCACGGACCTTACCTTCAGAGTCGGCTCTCTTTAACCCAGCGGGAGCTTCTGAGATGGAACCAGAGAGCAGCAATGGAGGCGGCTGACCCTGGAGACTGCAGGGCCCAGCCCGGGGAAAGTCGAAGGAAGGGGCGGCGAGTGGGTGCGGGTCCCACGTTGTTCAGTTAGTTTCCCTGGTCCTGTCCCCCCTCGGAGCCGGCGGAGAGGAGACCGCAGAGAGGGCAGGGGGTGCCCAGAAGCCTGCACCCCCGCCTTTCAGCGAAACAACTGCTCTCCTCAGCAACAAGGACCCGCCGTGTTTCATAAGTGACACCAGAAACTTGAGGGGGAAGAGATGCCAAATTTTCAGTGGTTTTTTTTTCCCCCTCTCTCTCTCTCACTCACTTTTAGCAGCTTCAACTTCCTTAAAGACACAGCACTATCTGGACAGGACCCAAGAAAAGAAGGGGCCAGGAGGTTTTTGCTGGGGGGAAGGGCGAGAAATGGAATCTTACAGAAGGCCACAGACTCTTACCTCCCTTCCAATAAGAACTGAAAAAGAAGAAGGGGTTGGGGGGTTGGGGGTGTTCTCCAAACTGTGTGATTGTGTGTATAGTGATTGCTCTGTGCACACGTGCATCTGCTTTGTGTTTGCTATGTTTTGTGTGTTTTTTCTTTTGGTTTTTGGGCCACGCCCAGCTGTGCTCAGGGCTAGCTCCTGCCTCTGCACACAGGGATCGTCCTGGTGGTGCTAGGGGGGGTCATATAGGGTGTCAGGGATCAAACCCGGGTCAGCCCTGTGCACAGTCAAGCACCCTCCCCACTGTACTATCATTTTGGGCCTCTGCATGTGTGTCTGTGTCACTGTGTGTGAACTAGTGTGTGTGTGTGGGGGGGGAGTTGTTGATGAGTATGGGTGTAGCTGTAAGAACGCATTTGTGTGTGTGTGTGTGTGTGTGTGTGTGTTTATATAGGTGTGAAACTGTGTGGCTGGAGTGTGTGAATGTGTGTACTAGGGCACTCATTTGTGTGTTTGTGTTCAGAAAAAAGTGTGTGGAGGGGAGGGGCGGGCTGAGGGGGAGGGGAAACTGTGTCTTTCAGTGAAAAGCTGAGAAGATCAGAAGGTGCAGGAAACAACAATCTCAAGGTTCCAAGGCCCGCTGAGAAACCAGCGTGTCAGAATCCTCACAGCTCCAAGGCAGGAGTGCCCTCAGCACACAGAGAGGTGCAGGGGACCCACGGGCCAAGCTCCCAGCGGGCTCCCACTGTGCAGGTGGGGAAGAACCCAGTGAACAGGCTCTGAACTGCAGAGCAGGGGCCAGAGACAGAACACAGTGGACAGGGCGCTTGCCTCGCACGCAGCAGACTGGGTGTAATCCCTGACACCCCATGTCGTCCCCTGAGCATCTCCAGGACTAATTCCTGAGTGCAGAGCCAGGAAGAACTCCCTGAAGATCACAGGGTGTAGTCCCCAAAACAAAACAGAAAAACTGAGGAACCAAAAGCTCAGGATTGGAAGCACTTGGCTTTCAGTTTCCTCGGAAGGGATTCTGAGCTGGCGCTGTCATCCTGCACTGCCCTCCATCAGGCAGTGGTGTGGTGGAGACACTTTACTCTTTCTGGAATATTGTCTGTAGCCACCCACGATTCCTAAATTCCTACCACCAAACTGGCTGCATTGCCCTATTTGGGCGCCACTGCCCTACAATTCACTGTGTGCAGACTGGAGAGCTAGTACAGGGGTGACAGCACCTGTCTTGCATGTGGCCAACCTTGGTTTCACTCCCTAGAGTGAATGTGATTCCCCAAGCCCCACTGGAAGTGGCACCTGAGCACAGAACCAGGAGGAAGCCCTGAGCACCACCAGGTGTGACCCCAACCCTCAGCCCCTGAAAACCATCTTTTTTTTTTTAAAAGATGCATCATGTTGGAACAATATATGACTGAAACCCAATCAGGAACAACTTTGCAATTGTGTGTATCACTATGATTCAATTTTTAAAAATTAAATAATAAAAATATATAAAAATAAAAAGATCTATGAATCTCTTTCCCCAAGGAGAAGGATCTGGGAGGATGGGATGGTGAGAAGGTTCCAGAGCAGATAGCTGGAAGGAAACGCAGGGATGAGGGAGCCCCTGGCAGGAACTTCGTGGATGGAGTAATGTCCCCATAGCACCACCCTCTTGTATTCCCAAGTCCCCAGCTCCACAGTGCCTGTCCCTCCTGTCTGTACACCCGGCTGGATTCTGCTCATGACTCCACTTCCTCTCTTGGCACCGCAGAGACAAACAGCTATGATCTTCAGCTAAAAGCAGTTCCATCCCCTCCCAGCTTGTCTCGTGCATATCCCCCCAGCCCCCAGCAAGGCTGTATTAGTCCTGGGAAGCACAGCACCCCACTCTGTGCCAGGGATCGTCTCGTGGTGTGAGTTCCATTCGCACTATAGGTGCTATGCTCTCTCTGGCACCATCCTCACGCGGGAGAATTCCTGAGACAGTTCTGAACGTGGTAGATCAGCCAGCACATAAACCGGAAGGGAAGATCAGCCGTCTCAATGCCAGTCCAGGTGAACTTCCTGGTGGAGGGGCTTGACTGCTTCTGCGTATCACACCATTCTCATTCATGCAGGGGCCATGCCACTTCTTAGAGTCTCTGAGGAGCTCACAGACAAGCACCCTGTCACCCTCTTTGAAGTACTGCAGGGTCAAGTATAAAAGATCCTCCTCAGCCCTGCTGCTATGGCTGACTCCCCAAGGCATCTCGGGCATCCGTGTAACAGCAGTCCTTCGAGACCACCCATGCTGGGGCCGATGCCCCTTTAAGAGCCCTCCAAAAAATCCTGTTTTCTCTTCAGGGCTCTTACTGTCCTCTGCAATCATTCATTCACTGATGTTCCACTAGAAAAGGATGCAAAGGAAGGATTCAACTAAAATTGCATGCACAGGGTCTCAGGAAACACCCCTTGACGCAATGAACTGATGAGTTGGACGAACACCAGGCACCAGACACAGAAACTTCTAGAAACTGCTGTGCCAGCCAGCCCCGCTAGCACCCTGCTCCCCACCACAGCCCACAGCAAGTGGGGGACCTGTACTCTGTTGTGTGGAGAGTGAGTTTTGGCAGCACTGGGGAGGGGACCCCCTGCTCACTCTACCCTTGTTCCCAAAGGAATGACAGCCAAACCCTGCATGGGACTGAGGGCAGGAGCAGAGGGGCCACCCCCAGAGGAAAGGGAGTCACTAACAGCCCTCCCCCATCCACCCAGCTCCCATCTCTGCCCACCAGGTCAGCTAAACTCTAGTTAACCAACCAGCAAGGGCCACGCCCCTTCCTCTGAGACTCCACCTCTTCTTCCTAGGCTCCACCTCCTCCTCCTAGTCTCCACCCTTCCCTGAGGCCCCACCCCTTCTCTGAGACTCCACCCCTTCCCCGGAGACTCCACCCCACCCTGAGGCTCCACCCTTTCCCCTAAGGCCCCACCCTTCCTCCCGAGGCCCCACCCCTTCCTCCCGGGCTCCTCCCCTTTCTCCGAGGCCCCACCCCTTCTCTGAGACTCCACCCCTTCCCCTGAGACTCCACCCCACCCTGAGGCTCCACCCTTTCCTCTAAGGCTCCACCCTTCCTCCCGAGGCCCCACCCCTTCCTCCCGGGCTCCTCCCCTTTCTCCGAGGCCCCACCCCTTCTCTGAGACTCCACCCCTTCCCCTGAGACTCCACCCACCCTGAGGCTCCATCCTTTCCCCTAAGGCCCCACCCTTCCTCCCGAGGCCCCACCCCTTCCTCCCGGGCTCCTCCCCTTTCTCCGAGGCCCCACCCCTTCTCTGAGACTCCACCCCTTCCCCTGAGACTCCACCCACCCTGAGGCTCCACCCTTTCCCCTAAGGCCCCACCCTTCCTCCCGAGGCCCCACCCCTTCCTCCCGGGCTCCTCCCCTTTCTCCGAGGCCCCACCCCTTCTCTGAGACTCCACCCCTTCCCCTGAGACTCCACCCCACCCCTGAGGCTCCACCCTTTCCTCTAAGGCTCCACCCTTCCTCCGAGGCCCCACCCCTTCCTCCCGGGCTCCTCCCCTTTCTCTGAGGCCCCTCCCCTTCCCGAGGCTCCACCCCCTCCTCCCAGCCTTCCCAGTCGGACCCTTGGCGGAGAGCCACCCTGCAGGCCGAGGGGCCTCCAGTCGCTCAGGCCCCTCCAAGGGTGGGGGCTCTTTCCCTCCCAGACTGCCCCTCCACCCTCCCTAGGCTGCCACAGGCTGGAAGTTGCCCGTGCAAAGCCTGTCCCAGAGCGCAGGCCTGGCCAGCAGCTGAGGGGAGGGGTGCAGGAAGGGCCCTGGGGAGTCTGGACTGCGCCTGCCCCTCCCACCACGGAGGGTGGCCCGGCAGAGGCCTCGCTCCTCCCAGCACCCCGCTCCCCCTGCCCACCGGCCCTCGGCCCTCGGGGAGCTCCTGCCAGCTGCAGCAGGCCGAGAGGTTTCCCAGGACGGGGCACGCAGGGGGTTAAAATCCAGGCCGACCCAGGGGGGGTGTGCTCACTTCTCCCCTCAGTTTTCTTTCCTGTTCCCCCTTCCCAGCTCACCCCGCCCGGCCCTTTCTCCTCCCACTCGGCCAATCCCTCAGCTGCTAGCGCCAGCGACTCCCCCACCCCAAAGAGGCCCCTCTCCCGCTGACCAGGGGGTGGCTGTGCCACGTCAGCTTTCCCTGGAAGGCGAGGAGAGAGAGAGAGAGAGAGAGAGAGAGAGAGAGAGAGAGAGAGAGAGAGAGAGAGAGATCCTGAAGGGGAGTGGGAGAGAGAGAGACAGAGAGAGATCCTGAAGGGAGTGAAGGAGAGAGAGAGAGAGAGATTCTGAAGGGGAATGGGGAGGAGAGAGAGATCCTGAAGGGGAGTGAGTGAGAGAGAGAGAGAGACAGAGATTATGAAGGGGAGTGGGGGAGAGAGAGAGAGATACTGAAGGGGAGTGGGGGAGAAAGAGAAGAAAGATCCTGAAGGGGAATGGGGAGGGGGAGAGAGATACTGAAGGGGAGTGAAGGAGAGAGAGAGAGAGATCCTGAGAGGGAGTGGGGGAGAAAGAGAGAGATATCCTGAAGGGGA